GCATACACACACCTAGAAAAATGCTTTACTGTCATATTTTAAGGTTGAAGATCTAACTTTCCTAAGGAAGTCTAATTTTAGCGTCCCTTGTTTTCTCTAGTGAAAGGAGAATTAGTGTCTTGCAGTACATTTTCCCAACAAACCCTTAAGCCCCTAACCTTATCAATTCAGTTTTACAACATTTATTTTATTTATCTTGCAACAGTGATAGCTCTGGAGAGAGAGATCTGCCTTGATCTTGCAATTCAGAGTTTGAAACATTTGTGTTACATTTAGGAGACACTATTACAACAGGGTTCAGCTGCTTTGATCTTTTTGCCAATTGCAACTGTTTACAAAACTCCAAGAAGAAATTAACATTTTGCAACATGCGATGTGAAAACTAAACAGAACAAAGGTAAAGAGATTGAATTTCAGAGCAGCAGGGAAGTAAATCAGCAGTCAGAGTTGATTTCTTTTTTTAAGTTTGTAATCTCACCAAACTGAAGAGTCAGCTTTTCTTATGCATCTCAGAAAAAAAATGGCTGCAATTTATACCTATTAAGATTTCAGAAGGCAACTCAAAAACACCACCTTTTTAGGGTGCAGCCAGAAATGATGCACCTAAAACCACATCGTTTTTGTATTTATGGACCCAGGGAAGTACAACTGAACTAAGTACAACTGAACTAACTAATCTAAGAGTAACACTAAGTGTAATCAAACTCAATAAAACCTATGACTAATTCTCATCCCAACACTGACTTTAAACCTCATACTGTAACACCTGATCTAATTTTAGGACTTTTTTTTTTCTCCCCACCACCTGCTTCCTGATATAGTGTTTGTGCCATTTGATTTGGCATAATAAAAACACTGTTGTCTTATTACAGATGTTGAATTCTTTGTCATTTTCATGTTCTCACACTATTTTTTTAAGGTTATCAAAAGGGATTATCAATCCTCTTTCCACTGTATGTATAAATGGATGCTATTTCTCCAGCATCCACAGCAATGTTTAGCTTTTGCAAGCTTTGGTAAAGAAGGATTTCCCCAAAACTCTCTTCGGCCAATATTTATGTATTCCAAACAACTGATATTTTGCCTTCTGGGTCTTATTCAAATGTCCATCTAAGCATTGTTAAAACTAAATTGTTTAGGAAATACAAATTACAAGAACATATGAGAAATTTCAATATGTTATTTAAAATAAGGAACACCTCCAGGGAAAAGATACTGGAGTGCCTCAGATCTATTAGCTAGAACAAAATCTGTCTTTCCACTTCCTAAAGAAAAATGTGCAATAGCCATCAAATTGTTGCCTGTTAGATTGTCAGCATAACTCCTGTGACCTGAAGGGACTGTTTGTTGTTTCCATTTATTCAATATCATGGTCAGATTACAGTCAAGTTGAAAGAAGCCAGTGAAAGTTACCAGATCAATATCAGATTTCAGATATCTTAGAGATTCTTACAGATAGATCCTATTGAAGGAAATGGCTTCGGATAGGATTTTTTCCCAGGAAATAAACTAAAGCCAAAAAAAAAAAAAAAAAACAACCCACCCCCTTCAGAGGGTTGATTTTGAGGTTGGGAAGCTTCTTTGATGTTCTTTTCAGTGAGCCTATCCCATGAAAGGAATCCACTTGCAAAGGAGATGAAATTAGTTTTCTTTTGACAGCTCTACCTCCAGATTTCCCACAACCACAGTTGGCTTAACACAATCCCATCACTTAAGTGAACCAGGAGGTTGGCACCTTGTTCACCATTTGTCCCTCTTCATTTTCAAAATGGGCACAGTGGGGAGACTAGAGAGAAAGCCTCATTTGGGACCTCCCAGCAAATAAAGAGACAAGACCTGGTACGTTTGGGTGAAACATTTATTTACTAAAAACAAAACCTTTAGCAATCTAATAATGCAGGAATATGCTTAAAGGCCAAAATCACCTAATGATTTGGAGTATCTAAGCCTAAGCTGGTCCCACATTTTCTCGTATCTACCATCTCCACCAGAGCATACCTGCATAGATATCAAAGGAGATTTTCCTGAATTGCTCCTTTCCTGGTCTCATAACTCTGGGTGGACTTCCAAGAAGCCCCCACCCTCAATCATCTTAAACATGCCTCCTGGCCTCTGAATTTATTTTTCCTCAATTCCTCTGCAGTTATGACCAACCTGAACCCATTTCATGGCCTCCACAATACTAACCCCACCATAATTCAATACCACCAACAAGATTATTTTGCACATTAGATTAATGTGTTGAGAAGCAAAAAATAATAATTTGAGTGTGCTTATATATTTCCCAGGAACAACCTGCCCACACTTTAATTGCAGCAATAAGGCAACCTTAAAATAAATAAAGAGAATTGACTGGAAACAAAATAAGTTTTCATAACCTGTAGACTTTATCCTACTCAGTGTTGGGATTTGTTATCCCTGTGGCCTGAATCTTTCCCAGTCTGGCTATCGTTGCCACCCTTACTGAAAATCTGGCAAAGCAGGCATGACACCATGCAAAGTTAGGTGAATTTGTTTGTGAAAACACTTACAGAGTAGAGCAGGAATAGGTAACTTTGGACTCTGTACAATCCCAGTATGACTAGTTCAGGAATTCTGGGAGTGGAAGTTCACGGGTCATAAAGGATCCATAATTGCCCACCCCTGGAGTAGAGGATGTTTGCAGTCCACTTCACACACCTATCTATGTGTAATGGATGAATAGCAGAATACACATTGATAACCCTCCCTATAGAAAAATGATAATGCCAAACAAAAACATATTCAAAAATATTACACCAGTGTACTTATTCTTATGGTTGCAAGCATTAGTGTCTCTTTGGAAAAAAATTTTCAAATCCATTCCTTCAAGAAAGAAATATTTTGGACAGTTACAAAAAGGAGTTTGCAGCATGGCATAAAACAATATTTGTCATTTCATCCTTGACATTATATAATTTCCTCTGCACTTAATGATTCTTCTGGCTTCCCCATTTGCTAATCCATTCAGCCCATATGTATATCTCTTCGGGACATTTTCTTTATCTCATTACTCATTTTCTTTATCTCTTGATAAGATGCACATTTCAAATTTTCAGGATTAGCATATTTTCAGGGCAGTTCACCCATAAAAATACCACTAAACGTATTATGTCTATTCACTGTATACAATTCCAATCAATCAGAGGATTTTTTTTTCACCTAACAAGGAATATGTATTTCAGCTAAGGACAAGCATGGTTCTAACAGCTGTATTTTATATTTTCAAATGAGGGAAGAAATCATCATTATTAATTAGCTTCTTCTCAGCCACCCATGGGAGATTTCCAGGTACAACCTGAAAGCTGAACAGCATTTGACACAACTGAATTTGAATGTCTGCAAATGTTCATCTGCCTTGAACCTTAACTAGAGTTTACTTTTTCATCCTCTTTATTTTCCTTTTATCACTTTGCATGACAAAACATTTTGGGAAATTCCAAAGCTCGCATGTTGGTTTCTAACTTTGGGGAGCTAATGTGGAATCAGAATGGTTCTCTGAGTTGTATTCCTGACAGGTCAATGGGTATCATAAGTAGACAGGACCTTATGAACCTGGGACATATTCTGCATTGTAACCAGTATTGCAGAAGGACTGACAACGCCCTCCATTACCGTCTTCCCACCCCCACAAGACTATTCCATATATGCATAATAATGTATGTCAGTTTTTCTTCTGCCTCACAGAATAGATAGGAAAGGAAGGAAAACATTCAAACCATATTCTTTTCAATAAAAACTCTGAGGTACACGTTCATTGAGGTTTTATTTAATTCTCCAGTTAAACACTCCATCTTCAGAAGTTGCCCATCTTCAGAAGTTAGGTGAGAAATTGTAGCTCAGTAGCAGAACATAACGTTTTACATACAAGAGGTCCCAGTTGGAGTCCCCAACATCTCCAGCTAGCACTGAAAGGAGTTACAGCTGTAATCTTTGATGGTTGCCACCACTCAATTTGGACAATACTGTCCTAGATGGATCCACACTCTGAATCAGTATCAGTCAATTCCCTGGGTTCTACCCCAGCTGTTCTGCGTCCATCACAATGAAGATTATATAGGAAAATTGAAAATGAAGCCCATGGATATTAATCAAAAGAATAAAACACTCTTTAGCTTTTTGTTTTGCATTATCCATATTCATACCTGTACATAAAAGAGGAGTTCAGAGATAATTATCTGACAGTTCACCTCCTTCAGTGAGGACCCTATTCTTTCTGTTCCTTCTCTGGTATTTTTAGGCCCTGTCAAAAGCCATTCAACATACTAGATAAGGAATCTTAAAATCTATAATTTTATATTATGTTGAAAGCTAAAACAAAAAACAAAATGACACACCCAAGGTCATCTGATATATTTAACAGAATCAAGAAGCTGGGGGGTGGGGGGGGGGGGGGGGGGGAGGGTTGAGCTATATCACTTCTGGTTGTAGTTGCTTGCATTTAAAACCTACTATAGGCCTACAAAGCTAACATGACAGGGAAAATGTTTTTCTGAAATGTGGTTTTCTAAATTTGGAAAGGCAGTGTTTACTCTCAAGGGTATATTTAAAATTTAAACTTTCTATTTTTACCCTAAAATGGAACAGTCCAGGACAAACTTATCTCTTCATTCTTTTACATTTATGTGTCACAGTGATGAGTAGTAACATGTCCAGCCCTGTTTTACTAACTGATAAGAATGTTTTGTTTTATCTTGTATAAAGAAAACTGGCAACTACATTATAAATATTTTAAATCTATAATTCTATCCCCGCAATTCAGATTCAGAATAAACTGTAGAATCTAAAAGAAACTATATATTGAATAATAATAGGATAGTATGAACACAATTGAATATCTTAATTACTTTTTTAATTCAGAAAGAATATTTTCATGTTTAAATCAACTTTTCAGTTTGAAGCACTTCTTGTAAATTTAATTGCAACAAAAATTTTACAGGAAAAAAGATTTTTGATTTTTTTTAAAAAAAAATCATTGTCTCTATAAATGTACAACTTCTTGTCCAGTTTTATATTGCCCCTTAGTTATTAATAATAAAAGATGAACCTTTAAAAGCTTTATATAAAAATTCTTAATCAGCAGATCAATTCAGTGAAATCATTAAGAGACTCAAAGCATTTTTCTGCATGACTTAAAACTTTATTCAGTCTTTTTGTGATATAAAAGGACTGAATAAAGTGAATAAAGTATAAGGTATAGGCAAGTTGAATAATGACACAATCCCTACAAAGAAAACATTTTTATCAATGCAAGCATGATACTGTTTCCCAACCTCTGTTAAAATGGTGTATTAAGCAGCAGGAATTTTACATTTTATTGTGGGAGAAGAAAGAGAGGGGAGGGAGAGGAAGATGAAAATAAAGCTAGATTTTGCTGATGAACCATTTATGTATTTTTTTTAAAGAATAGTTTTGAATGGAGGGCCTTTATTTGACAGGACAAGCATGGAGCAAAGAACCAAGTACAATTGCTGTCTGTTTGAAGAAGCTGTCTTCATGCATAGGAAGAAATAGGCTTTCAGGCTGAAGTTTTCTGTCCATGGTGCCAGTTCTCCATTGCAGTGAATATTTAAACTCTAAATTTTAGGGGGCGCAGTCATTTCTTCCCATAGAACAAGGAAAATGAAAGAATTAGAAGTTGCCAAATGAACCAGGCCTCAAAGTGGCATGATAAGAAAAAGTAAGAAAATCTGGGGTGTAGGATTGAAGCATTTCTTAAACAGGACCTGTTCTACAGAGCTGGCTTGAAACACCAAAGCATGAGGATAGACAGACCAGATATGCAACAAGCTCCCAAGTGCATTCCCTTCAAAATGAACCCCCCCCCCCCCCGATTTCATGCAACTTATGCATAGTTCTACTGTTTCACTTAACATTACAAAAAGCTATGGCAAGTTTTCAAAAACATTTCAAAACACAGGTCTGCAAATAGCCAGCACAAGCCTCTACAAGTCCATTTAAAAGTCCATGTAATTTTCATTAGAAGAACCACCAGCTGTGTATGCAGCATTGCGTTTCAGAACATAATGAAATGCTTCCCACCCCCCCTCTTCCTAGCACAATTCCTATATAACATAGACATTGTTGCAGTGGATAACCAAGCAGAATACAGAAGGAAGGGATGAATATTGTGTCAGTTAAAACAGACTTACCAATTTAAAACATTAAGAAAAGAAACAGAATCAGATGGTAGAATGATGCAAGGGAAAGGAATTAACAGGAGAGAGGGAGGGGAGAGACTCGTTGTATGCAAAGTTTATCATGGCTGCTTGACATTATTCCATTTTTACCCATGAAGCAAAGTCTCTTGGCTGTCAGGACAGTGTTTCTCCTGCCCTGCTTCCATGTTCTTCCCTAGATGGTTCTGGCTATGGCCAGATGAATAGCTGGCTGACTTGTCTCCTGCAGCTCCAGGCAAATGCCCCGACGTGCAGCAGAGGACAGCCGTGCAAGCTTGTCGGAAGCGGGGATCAAAGAAGGCATAGAGAAAAGGGTTGAGGCAGCTGTTGACATAGGCCAAGCAGCTGCAGTACGGGTGGAGATTGCTCAGAAAGGCATGGAAGCTGCAGGACAAGGGCATCACCTCCCAGTCCATTAGCATGTAGATGGTTTTCACCAAGTGGAAGGGGAGCCAGCAGATCGCAAAAGTGGTCACAAGGACAATGATAATGGTGAGCAGGCGCTTCCGTTTCCTCAGCCCTTCACTGCGCTCCTTTCGGAAGTGACCTGCAATCGTACGGGCAATGAAGAAGTAGCAAATCAGCATGATGGCAAAGGGGATTACAAATCCCATCAGGGTAGAGGACAAGCCAAGCCCTGCTTCCCAGGCCGCCTCAGTCTTGTTGGTTGCCACGCTTGAATAATCCATGAAACATGTCACTTTGTCACTCTCAATGAATACTCCAGTCCTCCGGAAAATCATGGCTGGCAAGGCCAAGAGAGCTGCCATAGTCCAGAGCACAATGGTCATTAGAAGTCCACTAGCTTTTGACCTCAGCTTGGCATTGGCTACAGGGCGAACGATAGCCAAGTAGCGGTCAAAGCTGAGCCCTGTGAGGCAGAAGACGCTGGCATACATATTGACAAAGACCAGGTAGCTGCTGAGTTTGCAAGCAAAAGAGCCAAAAGACCAATGGTAGTCCAGGACCACATAAGTGGCCCATAGCGGCAAAGTGACCACAAAAGTCAGGTCAGCTATTGCCAGGTTTGCAATGAACGTGTCTGCCGACCGTCGCTTTTCTTGCCCTCCTCGGAAAATGGTCCATAGCACCAAACCATTGCCAGTGGTGCCCAGAAAGAAAACAAGCAAATAGATGGAAGGAATTAGGATTTTGGAAGAACTCCAGTCATCGTAGTCACATTCGTAGCTGCTTGAGTTATTGTCAGTATCGTTGCCAAATTCCATTTCTGCTGGAAGAAAAGAAGAATGTGCTCTGAAGAAGTAGTTCCTTTTTTTTTTTTTTGCTCTTTATGTCCAGATCACTCAGCAGGATAAATCTTGGCAAAGTTCTTACGTAGAAGGAAGACCAAAAAAAAAAAACAACCCTGAGTTGCCCGGTCTCTCAGCTCATTTGTGTCTTTCTGTTACCTCCTTCTTTTCAAAGCTTTAGACAGTTCTGGCCAGTGCCTCCCTCAATCTGGGTCATCTCTCTCACACACCCACTCATTCCTACTGTAGTAGGAGCTTCCTTTTGACTGGTCTTAAAAATCTTTGCATCCCAGCCCCCTTCCCCCCTCCCCAGTCCCCACCCCACCCCTTTGCTTTCACTCAACATCCTTATGTGAATTGGATGAATTGACCCCTGTGGAGCTGGGCAGCTCCATCTGCCCTTTGGATCCTCCCCCTTCACAAACACTCTCTACATGTGCTCTCCCCCTAAGCTTCTCAGAGCAAGGAAAGGAATGTGGCTTAAGACAACCAGAGACGCTGCTGGGTGGGTGGCATGGAGTGATAATCCAAATAACAGGGTTCCCAGGTGCCCTGCTAACCTCATCCCCCTTTTGCCTAAAAGACTCGGTTTCCCAATTGTGAGTTTTTCTCAGTTTCAGCAGCAAAGTGATCTAAGTGCTTTTTCCCCCTTTTCTTGCAAAACCAACCCTCATTGACTTTAGGACATTCTGTGATCACCTTATGATAGTGCATTAAGAAAAGTCTGTCAGTGCAAAGAAATGGCGGGTTCATCCATAGACGTAAATAAGCTTTTACTAAGGAAGTTGACCATGATTCTGCTTGGCTCCCTGAAAAGGCTTTGAAAACTAAGCGGGTGGGGACAGAGCTGGGAAGAATGCGGCCAAGGTGTTGGACTCCCAGCAAACATCTCAGAGAGAAGCCTGTGAGAAACGGATAATCTAGACATGCTCTGGTCTGCAGAGACCATTGGTGGTGAATTCTTCAAACTTTTAGGCACATGGGGTATTTCTAGAAGATCCAAATATTTGGAAAAATATTTTGGGAACTTGCCAAACTGTAGACTAAACTCAAGTGTTCCTGAGTTTTAAATATTTGATCAATAATTTATAACAATAATGATATAGTGTATGTATATGAAAATACAGGTATCCCTTGACTTAGGATCAAAATTGAGCCCAGAATTTATGTTACTAAGCGAGAAATTTGTCAAGTGACTTTTGTCCCATTTTATGACTTCTCTTTTCATGTTTGTTAGGCGAATCACTGCAATTGTTAGATTAGTAACATGGCTGTTAAGTGAATCTGGCTTCCCCATTGACTCTGTTTGTAATCAGGTCGCAAAAGGTAGTCACATGACCCCAGGATACTGCAACCGTCATAAATATGAACCAGTTGTCAAGCATCCACATGGCCATGGGGATACTGCAATGGTTATAAGTGTGAAAAATGGTCATAAGTCACTTTTTTCAGTACCATTGTAACTTTGAATGGTCACTAAGTGAATTGTTGCAAGTCGAGGACTGCCTTAGATTTTTACCTAAAAGGAGCAAACCTGAACTGAAGTCTTCTATCAACTTTAAAAAATAACAAAAAAGAGATTATTAAGAATTCATTGTAACCGGGGGTGGGATTCAACCGGTGTTACTGCTGGTTTGGTGACATTTTGCACTGTGCGCGCGTGTAAATAACCTTAAGTTGTGCTGCCCAAACAGCTGAAAAGCACTTTCCGTGAGTGCACAGCATTTGAAAAGCCTCTTTTTTTACTGCTTTTTCAACCTCAGCTGTGCCGCGCAAAGCAGCTGAGGTTGAAAAAGCAGGAAATAAAGGACAGGTAAGAGCCCGGGCGGGCAGGTGGGCCAAACAGCAGCAGACACAGAACTGGTTCTGTGTCTGCTGCTCTTCAGAGCTACCAGTTCTATAGAGCCGGGCAGAACTGGTAGCATTCCACCTCTGATTGTAACTGATCTAAACCTCTGCCACAGCATCTGAAATGCTCCAATTCCAGTTTATTCCCAGTCCCAAAAGAAATGTCTTTGTGCAGTTCCCACAGAAAACACAGCCTTTATTTGAAGGACATAATATCAAGAGTAAAGCAGTTTACAACTTAAATAAGAAAAGCTTTTCAGCTGTACAATAAGCAGTAATCCATCCCAATCTAATGGAGGTTAAGAAAATGGCCAGGTATAAGGAAATTTTAGATAACCAAGGGAATCTAAAGAGTAGACAGAAATTGGAAGAACAGGGAATAAAATTGAATTGGTGGACCTATATGCAAATACAAACAAGATACAAAAAAGACAGTGAGGAATTTGGAATAGACAATGAATTATAAAAACTTGATAAAATCTTGATTGGCCCAGATGAGAAATTATTATCAAAGTTTATAAACATTTATTAGAATTTGACAAAGTAGAAGAAATTGTGAAAGGAACAATGATTGCATGGGGTAGGAACATTGATCTAGAAAAATGGGAAAAGATTTGGAATATGAATTATAAAATAACAAAATTGGTGGCATACAAGGAAAATCAACATAAAATGTTATATTGTTGGCATATGGCACCCTTAAGATTGACTAAGATCTATCCAAATTTAAAACTGAATTGTTGGAAGTGTAGACAAAAACAAGGTACCTTCTTTCATTCTTGGTGGACATGCCCCGAAGTGAAAAAATATCGGAAAGTGATTCAAATGTGGTTAAAAGAGTTAACTAAAAACAAAATTGATTTTGTCCTAGAATTATTCCTTTTAGGAATAATTAAAAAAAACTATAACAGAAAGATAAAATATCTTGTATTACACGTATTAACAGCAGCAAGAATTTCCTATGCCCAGTACTGGAAGAAAAACTCCACACCACCTGAAAGCTTAATAATAATAAAAAATTTAGAATGTGTGGAAATGGACAAATTAACTATGGAACTAAAAGGGAAAGCAGACATGAAATACAATGCAATATGGGAAACATGGTATATTTGGATTGACGCTATAAGAATAGAAATGTATATAATAGATACGAGGGTATGAAAGTATTGTGTATTTTAAGTTTAGATAGGATACATAAATGTATATATAATGTCACAGCACTGTTTAATAAGTATTGGTGTTATGTATAAATAGAAAAAAAACTCAATAAAGCATTTAAAAAAGAAAGAACAATTTGAAACCAGGCAAACTCCACTATTCTAGTCTCTACTGGACAGACCCAGAGCATATTTGCTATCTGTCTGTAGACAATATCACCAGCTCCTTTGAAGTACCTGTAGCGATAGAACTACAAGCCACCTATCTTGCCTTTTGATGGGTTTTATCTGCCTTCCCAGGAATATCTGGCTTGCTGGATTAGAGAATGGCTTCATGATGACCATAACACCACTCTTACAAGCCATTTAGGGCTTTGGTGTTCAATCTTCCCTTTGTGCTTTACTGATCAGCCTGATATTTTCCGTCAGCTGTCCTGGTCATCATCCATGTGTCTGTGTTTATAACATAAGGAGTTCTGTGTTGCACTATCATCAGAAAAACAAAGCACCTAGCAAGTAATTCAGGCCTGTCCCAACTCTTTGAAATGTTAGAATTTTCCCTTGGTTGAAAGTAGGAAAAACAAAATATTCCAGAACAACTTCAAAATCCCTGTGACCTGCATCCTTCAGAGGCTCCAAAAATGACATTTATAACTCCCTCATTTAGTATATGCAGCCTCCCTGTAAAGTAGGTTAGGCTAAGATTAAATGACAAGCACAAAGTCACCCAGTGAATGAAGGGGGATTTGAACCCAGGCGCTCTCAAATCCAGGTAACCACTCTTCTCACTGGGATTAGTTTAGAAATTAAAGCAAGTATGTCTGGTTTAAACAAGGACTTAATTTGCTCAAATTATATAAATATCTATTGTTAGGTAGTAAGTAACTGTTTAAATTCTTGGAGAACATATTGATCAATCAAAATCCTCAGTGGGACCAACCAAAATGTCAAGATAATCAGCACGCTTTTTAATTTTCCAACAGTCCGTGTCAGAATAAATAGAATGCAAAATGCTGGTCAGGAGAAAAAAGCTGTAAGAGTGTAAGAAGCCATAAAAACCTACTTGGGTCACCATCTTCAGATGGAGTCCAGGAAAAAGTGACAAGCATACTGAGTTATGCTTTCCTGCCAGATGCTATGTTGGTTTCAGGTTACCAGCAGTGATGCTTGAACAAAGACACATAGTAGGTGATTTGATCACCCGTGTTTGAAAAAAAAATAAAATCTAAAACTTATCTAGGTCTGTCTCAAATCTTAAATGAAACATACAAGGTGGGTTTAGACTATTGTACTAGGCCTGGACTTCTTAACCATAGTTTGTTGAACCAGTCAGCTTGGCTGGCTTGTGCAGGCATTGCACTAACCATAAGCCATGTTACAAACGGTGATTGGATATGCCCAACCGTCTAAACCAGGGCTGTCAAACTCGCAGCCCACGTACTGGCCACACCCATGCCTAATTTAGCGAAGGAGGGAGAAGTCCTGATATGTCACATGACGCCACCGTGATGACATGAGTTTGACACCCCTGCTCTAAGCTAAACCCAAACAGCCTACATTGGGTTTAGAACAATGTGTGAACCCAGTTAAGCAACAGCATTTTTTATTCAATCTCATTGAACAGAAGCTTGAAAAAGCATGGGCTGGTGCCAGAGGTGGTATTCAGCAGGTTCTGACCAGTTCTGGAGAACCGTTAGTGGAAATTTTTAGTAGTTCGGAGAACCAGCAAATACCACCTCTGACTGGCCCCACCCCCAGCTATTCTCTGCCTCCCAAGTTTCAGCTGATCTGCTGGCTGGGTCTTCTTTTGTTGCTCTGCACAAGAGAACAGAGCTGGAAAGCAGGTTAGTGGGGTAGGGAGGGAATGGGATTTTGCAATATCCTTCCCCTGCCGTGCCCACCAGGCCACGCCCACAGGACCGGTAGTAAAAAAAAATTGAATCCCACTACTGGCTGGTGCATTAATGAAGTATAGAGAGATTATATGCTTGTGTATGAGGCTCAAAGCACATCTTCCAAATATTTTTTTCAAGTGTATGCCTAGCTGTACTGTCAAATTTTTGATGTATGATCTCAAATAACTATAATTTAA